CATGACTGAAGCAAGAAGACCAGATGAAACAATTGTGAACGTGCTCAATGATGTCATCAGAAGATCGCTAGAAAGATCAGATGGTAACATGTTCGGTGCCCAGATTGGTGCATCTGAATTGAACAAATATTTTCTAATACCCTTCCGCCCAACTACTCAGAATAACGCAGAGAAAATCGCAGCCGAACTGGATCGATTGATACAAAGTAACGAAAAAGTTTCACTGACACATACTTTATGGGATATATGTGTAACAAGTTTGAAGTTACCACAAGGTGGATGTAATATGACTTACGATCGATCTTTATCAAGCAATATTATTCAAGTTATTAATCCAAATAACAATTACTGTATGGCGATAGCTGTGAATCTGGGAATTTCGTATACCACACATCGAGATCTATTGGACGCATTGAAAAATAATGCAAGTTTTGCACAGGAAAGAGCCGAGCACTTATTACGAAACGCTGGCGTACCATTAACAAAGAATGCATATGATCTTAACGATGTTCAGACAGTGTAAGATTATTTGAACTTCGAATATTCGAATACGTATCGAATTATAGTTTTCGAAAAAGCAATTGTAAATCAGTTGGTATTTAAAGGAACGGATGCCACTTATGATATAATTCTTTATATCATCGACGGTCATTATCATCTAACCAAATCATTTGGAACATTATTCAAATCCTTCTACTACTGTGTTGAATGCAATGCAACATTCAAAAAGAAACTGGATCATCCAACAAAATGTACTCGACTATGTATGAAATGTTGTCGCATGAATGGTAAATATTCTGATCCAATGTACCCACCAACAAAATGTGAACAATGTAAAGTAACGTTCCTCTCTGATTCATGTTGTTCGGAACACCGTCGTAGTGTCAACCCTCGGAATGGAATGACAATAAAATCAATCTGTGGGGATAGGTATTTGTGCGAAGAATGTGGAAAATGTGTTATAAAATCTCGTTTGAAGTATGGTGTGCAACACAAGTGTCGCACTTCCTATTGTGGAAAATGTCAATCGTATCATCCGTCACGTGAGAATTGTTTTATTCCACAGCTCAGTGAACAACAAAGCAAAGACTATCGTTTGGTATTCTTCGATTTTGAGACAACACAAAACGATGAGATTGAAGACGGTATATTCGAGCACAAAGTCAATTGTGTTGTGGCACAAGCGATGTGTACAAGATGTGTGGCTGAAAATACAAGTATATCCTCGAATACACCGTGTCCTAACTGTGGTCCAGCTCGACAACTCGTTTCGACTACGGCTGACGGTGGTGATCCAATAGAAGATCTGATGAACTTTATTTTCAAGGTCAAAACAATCCATAGCAAAGTTATCAGTCACTATGGTGGCAAATTTGATATGCATTTTGTGTTGAAGTCGCTATATGATGGACGATATGGAAAACCTCGAGTGTGCGCACGAGGACTGAAATTATACTCACTGAAAATACAACGTGAAAAAGGATGTGTGGAATTCTTGGACAGCTACAATTTTCTAAACGCATCATTGGCGAATCTACCAAAATCGTTCAATTTGAATATTGAAGCAAAACTATATTTCCCACATCTCTATAATCGTCCAGAAAATTACGATATCGAACGCGGTGTACTTCCTGAAACTCGCTACTATTCTCCTGAACACATGCTTCCAGACGTCCGCGTAAAATTCATGAACTGGTATGATCTTAATGTGAATACTCCATTTTGTCTTCGGCGAGATCTGGTTGTGTATTGTGTAAACGACGTTGATATCTTACGCGAGGTATGTTTGAAGTTCCGCGATTTATATATGGGAATTGCACAAATCGATCCATTTCTCCAGTCAACCACAATCGCCTCTCTTGGTATGCGCATATTTCGAACACATTTCCTACCGTCTAATAGTATCAGTATAATGCCAGAAAATGGCTATAATCGTGAACAGCTGCAATCAGTGATTGCTTTGAAATATTTGATGTGGGAATCCAATAAGACAGGTCTCGGAATTCGTCATCGAAATTCAACAGGTGGTGAATATCATATTAACCGAGATAATGGAGGGTACATAAGAGTTGACGGATATGTACAAAATGGTGGCAACCAAATCGTATATGAAGTGCTGGGGTGTTATTATCATGGTTGTCCAAAATGTGCGCCTACCAACCGTGGAAAAATGTCAGCACATGGACTGACAATCAAAGAGAACTATCAAGCATGGTTGAAAAGACTATCGTTTCTCAGAAATCGTCAATTCGAAGTTCGTGCTGTATGGGAATGTGAGATCAATACAGCACTACGTCGTAATCCGGAAATGAAACAATATTTCGATGAATGTGAAGTCGTGGACCCAATTTCGGTAAGACGAGATGCGTACTTTGGTGGTCGTACTCATCCGTCTAGAATGTATTATCAACCGAGTTGTGGTGAGGAAATACGATTTTTCGATGTGGTGTCGCTATATCCTAGCCAGATGCGTGAACAATCGTTCCCAGTTGGTCATCCTAAAGTTATAAGCGGCGATTCAATTGAAGCAAATTTACCATGGACATCTGCTGGTGATTGCATCTACAGAGGATTGATCAAATGTCGGGTAGTGCCTCCATCGAATTTGATCGAACCGGTTCTGCCATATAGAGCAAAAACAGGGCAATTGATGTTCCCGTTGTGTGCTAAATGCACTGAATTATCCATAAAATCAGCCAGCGATACTATTGATTCTTGCACACATTCGGATAAGGAGCGAGCATGGATTCTCACGTATTGTCATCCAGAACTCCAAAAAGCACTTGAAAAAGGCTACCGTGTGACGCATATATTCGAAGTATGGCAATTCGATCAGTTTTCCAACACTCTCTTCGAAGGATATGTGAACAAATTCGTAGCACTAAAGGTGGAAAATTCAGGATTCCCACAGAGTGTTGTTACCGATCAGCAGAAAAAAGATTATGCAACACGTTACCGTGAACAACAAGGAATTGAAATCAATTTGGAGAAAGTGAACACCAATCCAGGATTAAGATACATTGCCAAATTGAGTCTGAATTCACTCTATGGTAAATTTGGTCAATCAAATACATTGAGTGAGATCAAATATGCTCAAAATGTGCAGGAATTAACTAAGCTGGTAACAGATCCAACATTCGAGGTTGAAGATTTGACAGCAGTCAGCGATGAAATGATACGTGTTTCGATGCACAAGAAAGACGATTATGTCATCGAATCACCTATTTCAAATGTTGCAATAGCGGCGTTTGTTACTTGTTATGCACGATTGAGGTTGTATCATTTCATGGAGATGGTGGAGGGTCGTGTATTATATGTGGACACGGATTCTGTTTGTTACATATCCCGACCAGGTTTGCCTGACATACCAGAAGGTGAACTTTTGGGAGAGATGTCGAGAGAGTATGCTGAATATATCATTGAGGAGTTTGTGGCTGCTGGTCCGAAGCAGTATGGTCTCAAACTAAGACACAGGGAAACTGAGGAGCAGAAATACATTCTGAAAATACGTGGATTTACCTTAGATCATACTGCCAAAGAACTGCTAAGTTACGACGTATTGAAAGATATGGTAATTTGTAAGTATGGTGAAAATCGAAAAAAACGTGTGACATTGTCATATCCGCATATAAAACGAACGAAGTATAGCAATGTCTACACAGTGAATCTCTCGAAGACGTATGCAGCTGTCTATGGTAAAGGGACCGTCATGAAAAATTTCGAGACGAGACCGTTTGGCTTTCGTCCATAATAATCAGTTCGTTTTTTT